CAAAATTTATACTTATTGTTAAAATGTCTATAAAATATCTGATAATTTGATGTGCATATGTCTAATGATCATTCTTGACCGCCAGATGGCATTTTTTTTACTTTTTTCACTAGATCTTGGAAACCGCTAGACCTGACTTCATGAAAATTTGATCAGTTTTTCATCTTGTTAATACAAGTAAAATGTTTTTTGAATTATTCAAATCGGACGCTCCGTTCTCTTAAAATCTGAGTTACCGCTTTTGGCACCTTTTGCCCCATATCTTCGGAACGGCTAGACCTGCCTTTGCCAAAAACTAATCAGGACGTCTCCTTATCAATACGAATCAAATGTTTTTTGAATTATTCAAATCGCTTCATCCGTGTTCCCGAAATCGTCGACGAAAATTTGTTTACGAACACATATACACACGAACACACACACGCATACACACCCTTTTTTTCTAAGGTATGCCAAAATATTCAGAAACCTCTAAAACGTAAAGATATATAAAAATTTTGATTTTCGATTTTTTTGCGATTACTATAACTTACCCTACGGGTAGTTAAAAATAACTTAGGACAGGCGGAAATTTTTTTTTTGTCGATAAAAGGGGAAAAAATTAATGTTTAAAAAATTAATTAATGGGGAACAAAAAAAAAATGTATTTCAAAACACTATTCAAAATTTCCTGATAATTGAGCATCATTGAAAAGTACCATTACTGTTATTTATACAGTTATTTTATAATCGAATTAAACTACTTTCATAGATAAACAAGTATAAATAGATCGCAAACCCGGCCATTCTGATATTACCTCAGTTTTAATTGCTCCAGCATATCATAGAGGTCTAAATAAGATTTATATAAATATACAGGATGACCCGACAGATGTTGTGCTGTACCCACGTCTACAAATCAGAAGTTCTAATTTTTTTAATGTCCTATTCTATACTTTTTAATATCCTATTTGTTGTTCTGTCTTTGAAATTCATTTATAGTCTTAGCATAAGCAGTATAAAAAAAATCAGAAAAAAATAATATAGTATCTGCGGTAAAAATGCAATATCACACTTAAATTTACCAACCAACATAATTGTTTCAATAATTTAGTCTATAATTTTCATAATCTCGTACGATATACGAGTATTATAATTTCTGAAGTTCATTTTTCATGCTAATTATTTAATAAACATTATTGTTTATGTTCAAATCTTAGGTGAATTAATTTGTAAATTCTTTGTATATGGGCACTCTTCAATCTAAGATCAACTTGCTAAATATTCCATATGCAATGTCAAACAAATGAATTTTTGATACCGAAATAAAATTCTAAATCATTTTTTTAATAAGTACTTATTAATCTATAGAATAGAATATTATATCTATAGAAATATTTTTTTGTATTGTTAAATAATTTAGTAAAGTAAACTAAAATGTAACATGCATAATTATAAAAAAATAATGTATATGCAATTTTGGACTTATTGTGTTATTTATTACACTGGTTTATATAATTTCATCTGCCAGACATATACTGCTGACTGTATCTTATATTATTTTACTCTCTGGCACATCTCAGCTGTTTTTCGGCAATAATAATGTAGACATTACATTTTTCTTGAATATTATATTCTAATATTATCTAGGCTCATAATTTCAGCTAAATTAAAAATTTAAGTGCATTGACATTTCTAGCAGATGACGGTTCAAATGTTTTCAATATCAAATAATGATAAGTGTAATAATAATAATAATTTTTGCCATTTATTTCTTCAATATTACTATAGGTTGTACAATAAGTCTTAAAAATTTTCTTTGACAAACCCTAAAAAGAAATATCAAAATCCAAATAACCGTTTAGGAGAAGTACCAAATCATACACCTGTACAAAAGAATTTTATATTGTATAAGAAATATATAATTTCCGACATATCGTAGCATTCATTGTTATTATTTATATAAATGCAGTTGTTTTTAACATTTCATGAAAAACTATAATATTTAATTTCAAAAATCTTAAAAATTAATAAATACTATAATATTTATCAATAAACTAGTAAACATTAATTCATACCTTTTAGTATAAATATCCATTTTGAAAACACTTTTACAAAATTAGTCCTTCACAAAAAAACACCACTTATAATTTTCTAGTAAATCGATAGAGCGAACTATAATTATAAAACGATAAATCTCAAAATATATATATTTTATATATTAATTTTCAATTTATATTATGTTTCCTTATTTATTTATGTCACATAATTCATCGCCATTCATGAATTCTGTTCCGCAAGCTTTTGCGCATGCGTGAACACACCCTTAGAATTTTGTGGGTAAGAAACATAGGGGAGTTTTTGATAATGGATTCTCTTTTCTTTTTTTGTATTTAAAACGTTTTTTTTTTCACAAATGACATTGATGAAAAATCGATTAACGCTAGAAGGAAACTCACACCCACACTTTTCTCCATTTCTATAATGTTATTTATTTATTTATTAACTTCCCGTAGGGTTGGTTAAATAATCTCCTAAAAATCAACTAGTTGAAAGTGGCATTTAGTCTTAAGGCGAATTGCTTGAAGTTCCCGAAATGTGTAAGATTTGACTTAATCAATCGAAATTGAAATTTAGATATTTAGATAAATTTTTCAACTATTTATTTCAAAATAAAGTTATTGCTTTAAATTAAATCTAAACATTGCGATTTCAAATAAAATTTTCTCAAACACGTACACGTGCTTGTAGGCCCTAAAATCGTAGCTTATTATTAACTTCCCGTAGGGTAGTTTTAGTAATGAGTCAAAAATGAAAATTTTTGCATTTTTCCACGTTTTGAAGGTTTCTGAACATTTTGGCATACCTCAGAAAAAATGCATTTGTGTATTCTATATGTCCGCATTTTTTCGTCCATCTTTTGCGGGCGCACGGATCAACCGATTTGAATGGTTCAAAAAACATTCGATTCCTTTCGATAGGGAGATGTACTGATTAGTTTTTGGCAAAAGCAGGTCCAGCCGTTACAGAGATAAAGAGCAAAAGTGCAGAAAATAGAAATCGAGTTTTTGAGAGAACGGAGCATCCAATTTGTATGATCTAAAAAACATTGAATTTGTAATGATTGGGAGAAGTGGTTGTTAGTTTTTGGCAAAGGCAGCTCCAACCATTTCGAAGATAGAGCTAAATGTACAAAAAATGGCGGTTTTTGAGAGAAATAGCATCCGATTTCAATGATTCAAAAAACTTTCTACTTGTGTTGACGAAACAATTGCTTTTGAAAAAAAAAATTCATTTTTTTTATCAAAAATAATTCAGATTTTAATTTTAATTCTGGCTAAAGTTTTAAGGCTCACTTATATACTTTAAATGAATAATTTTGATTTTGAATTATTTTTTTTTACTTTTTAGCTATTTGCAAAGAAACGGCTCCACGTGGAAATTGGCTTTTAAATTTTTGAAATCGGTTCAAGCGTTTTTAAGCAAACGTCGATGAAAGTTACTTGTCGTAGGGCCGTAATATTGTAGTATGATCTATAAGACTATGGTATCTACAGTAAAAAAAATCATAAAAATCATCGTAAAAATTATTTTTAACACTTTATTACAAGAAAACGGCCCGGCCGATATTTACCAAAAACTATAATCAGCACGATTCCCAAACAATGTCCTTTGAACGGTTTTTGAATTTTTAAAATCGATTCAGAATTGCGGGCTAAAACGTGGACGAAATATTTTTTAACTTTTCTGCTATTTATACAGAAACGGCTTGGCCAATCGTCGCACAAAACTGATAAACAATAGTCATTGAGATAAAAGCCATTCGATGGCTTTTCAATTTTTCAAATCGATCCGGCCGTTTTTGAAAAAATGTCGATTTACGACAAAAAATCTGTTCACACACACACACTTTAACTAAATTTGGTTTCATTCGATTCAGAATGGCTTGAAACGTCGAGAAAGCATAAAAATAGCGAATCGGATTTGTTGCTGAAAATATAAACTTTTCCTTCGGGAAGTTAAAAAAATTAAAACTCAACTTTTTAATATATAAAATTAGTACTTGAATGTTTAAAGAAAGTGTACAATATCTAGAGAAACAGTGTTTTAAAACAAATGCTGAATTTGAAGCACACTAGCACCATCTATGATATGCTAAAAACATTCATACAGAGTAAAGCGCATTTGTTCTATGTTTAGCCCCCATGAATAACCCAAAGGACTATTGACTGATGTAAATGTGTATATTTGAATAATAAATACCAAAATTGTGGAAATTAATGCCAAAAAAACATCAAATACAATTGGGAAACATTTTGGAAACTTGCCAAGAAGCAACATCTTTTAGGAATATGATATATCATTTAATAGGTCTTTAAATGTAGATTGTAATTATTAGTCCAATCATTATAGTAAGTTTATCTCGGAATTTGAGATACCCAGCTGTAAGTCTGTAAATATTTGTCTGTAAATAATTGACACCCTAAAGATGTCTCATATGGTATTGACACTCTACCATTCGAGATACCCAGCTATAAGTCTGTAAATACTTGTATATTGACACCCTAAAAGTTGTCTCAAAACCTACATAGGGTAGGGTGCACGCAACATATGTAGGTTTTGAGACAACTTTAGGCTGTCAATATACAAGTATTTACAGACTTACAGCTGGGTATCTCGAATTCGGAGATTCTTACCAAATTTAAGCTTAAATGACTGGACTATATGTTATTTATTCACTTCCTGAAGAAAATCTTCGTTTTGTCTAGAAAATCTGATTTGCTAATTTTATGTGTGTCCTTATCAAGTTTCTCCAAATGACTTTGAAATTCTTATTCACGTACATTTTCCAATAGTAGTGTCAAATGATTTAGAATGACTGAAATGAGAAAATATTAAATTAACAAATCTAGTTGCCTTGAAGAAGATAAAATAAAACATATGTATATAAATAATACTTTTATCTTTTCCATTGTTTATTAAGTAAATATAAACTAGAAATTTCAATAAGGATTCTGAATAACAGTGAAAAAAATAACATGGTAATTAGAATATATTATCGGGTGGAATATTTCCATAAAGATAATTCCAAGACTTTGGTACAACAATGTCCAATTCACCGTTTGCTTCGTTTAACACATCAATAAGCTCGTTTAAAACACTAGTAGTCAAAAAAGCTTCATTTTTATTATCCCCGTCTGTACAATACCGAAAAATTAACAAAACCGGCAAACTCCTTTCCATACATTTCTCATAAAGTGCCTTAGCACATCCTGGTATGCTATTAATCAGACTACCATTATCATCATTACTATCATATCTAATCCAGTTTGGAGACTTCGACAGAACATCATCTACATCATTGCAACCTGTGTAATGCATGGCCAAAGAACCTCTATAAACAGCATCGCACAAACGTGTCAATTTACAACTGTAGCAACTGCTGAGAATTAAAATCCTCGAAAAGTTTTTGCTGCCTAAAAAGTCTACTAATTTATCTACAAATTCTTGCTTCAATAGATTGTTTATAGATGATCTCATTTGTAGTATTGCAATCTTTTTACTGGCATCATGGAAAATCTCCAAAGCTGTGTTTAGGGATGTTAAGTAGTTGCTGGTGGTGTCAGTTTGATGATTGTAGCCGTAAGGGTTGACACCTGATATGGGGGCACATGCAGGGTGCCACATTGTGCCTAGTCTTTTCATTTTTAAAGAATTTATGAGTAAGTCGGCTGACATTTGTGAGAGGTTACCGACGGATACACATGCTATAAGGAGAGTGTAGCCGTCGAAATTTTGGTCTTCGGTTAGATTAATCATCTAAGAAATAATTATATTGTTAAATCAGTGAATAAATTATAAGTAACAGAATGATTTACCTTTTTTCTTGAAGTAAGCCGTTTGTTGATGCAATTTTGACAATGACAAATCCATTTCGCTCAAACGACATGAAGTTAGTTCATTTTCTTATTAGGGAGTTGACACACAAAGTCGTATACATATCACGACACACAGTAGTCGCTTATAGGTTTAGATAAAACTGAATGATTTAAATCGTGCCTTGGGGTAAATCAAAATTATTTTCAATATTCAAGAATTTTTTTTTTGAAAATTCAAAAAAAGGAAACAATTTTTTCCCTATGGCAATCGTTTTGTCAACACAAGCAAAAACATGCTTAGTTCTCTCAAAAACAGTCATTGTTTGCACGTTTAGCTCAATATCTCCGAAACGGCTGCACCTGCCTCTGCTAAAATCAAATCACCACTTCTCCTCCCCATAATTACAAATCGAATATTTTTTAGATCATTTAAATCGGTTGATTCATTCTTTTAAAAACTTACATTTTTGTCGATAACTAATCAGCACGTCTCCTCATCAAGAGGAATCGAATATTTTTTAACCATTCAAATCAGGAAATCCGTACGCCCGAAATCGTCGACGAAAAACTGTTTCCACACATACATCAATTTTTCTGAGATGTGCCAAAATGTTCAGAAACCTCTAAAACGTGAAGATATGCAAGAATTTTCAATTTCGATTTTTGGCCCGTAACTATAACTTAACCTGCGGAAAGTTAACTAGATATAGGTGATATTTTTTATTAAAGTTGCATGAATTTTTTACTGTATATTATACGTGGAAATGATCGACATAATAGAATGTGTATAATTTATATAAATTTACTAGAAATAGGTAGAAATAACAATGTAATTATCTTGATTAGTTTTCAAACTTGAAAACTTTGTTCAAAATTTTGAAAAAACAGAAAAATATATGCAGCTTGCCTTACACCTAGTTAAATAATTAATTAATTTAATATAAATAACTAATCAAATACTACAATAACTTAGGGTAAGTTATAGTAATCGCCTAAAAATCGAAAAGGAAACATATTTGCATATCTTCACGTTTCAACATCTCCTGAACATTTTGGCATACCTTAGAAAAAATGGATGTAATATATGAGCCGCTCAGTGCACACATCGACTAACTCCACTTTTTGAAAAAACTGAGATATTAGTGGTAAGAACTTGGTATAATCATAACTTTTAGTATTTATAATAACTTTCCGGAATAATAAAGATTAGCACCGTTAAATGGCAAATTTTTTTGGCCATTGAATAATAATTAATTTATTTCAGAAGCCATTTCGATTAACTCCATACTCTGTATAATGTAAATCGTTTCAGTAACACTGTATCTGTTCTGGCCGTGCATCGACGCTTCTACATTTATATTTGAATTCATATTATCAGGGAAATTTTAAAAAACAATATACATTAAATCATCGCGTTTCTCAACTTTTTGTTTTATGGAGTTAATCGATGTGTGCACTGAGCGGCTCATATGTGTGTATGGATACTATATTTTTCGTCCACGTTTTCAGGAGCACTGATCAACCGATTTGAATGATTCATTTGAAACATTCGAGTCGTATTGACAGGGAGAGTTGTTGATTAGTTTTTTGCCAAGCCAGGTCCAGCGGTTTCGGGAATACGGCGCATAGAGTGCAGAAAATAGAAATTAAGTTTTTTAGAGAACAGACCATCTGATTTGAATGATTAAAAAAACATTCAAATCTTATTGATGGGGATAAGTGGTGATTAGATTTAGGCAAAGACAGGTCCAGCCGTTTCAGAGATACAGAGCTGTATGTGCAAACAATCGTAGTTTATGAGAGAACAAAGCATCCGATTAGAATGATTCAAAAAACATTTTGCTTGTATTGGCGAGATGATTATTTTTGGGGAAAACAAAAAAAAATTTTTTTTATTTAATTTCCAAACAATTTTTCTTTTTAATATCAAAAATTATTCGGATTTTAATTTTAATTCTAGCTAAAACTCTGAAACTCTCTTATATACTTCAAATAAATAATTTTAATTTAGCAATTCAGTTCATATAATTTTTAAAAATATGAGATAAGATTAAGTTTTGTTTATTTACTTTTTATATAAACATATGTATAACCGTCGTCGTCCAATTCATAGACTCTTACAGTATTTATAATAATATATTTGAAAACATTTAAAATTCTTATAATATTTCATTACAGTACGAGAAGTCCCAGCAATTTGCCTTAAGGCACAATGCCATACACCACTAGTTTATATCAATATTATACAGTTTTGAGATTCAAACTTAAAAAAATATCAAAGAAAAAATACTGATGTTTACAAACACAAAAATTTATTTTAAATAAATACAATGTATAATAAATAGTTAAAAACATAAACAATTACCTAAACAACAAATTAAACAATTCTAAATTTGTCTAATAAATTTATATCAATATTATATATCTATATAAATTATCACCGTATAAAAATATAACCGAACAGACTCTTCCTTTTACATTCACACCTTGGTTTATTTTCATCATGTCTGCCTCATTGCATATTTCATATTTGTCATATAAATTTTCATGTCCTTTTTAGATTTTTTAATTCTTGAGAATGTCTTATTGCACATTTTGCATTCATGGGGATAAATAGGCATATGGTTTTCCAAATTATGTAATCGTGCAAAAGTTTTGTTGCATATCAAACATTGATGAGGTCGATCTCCAGTATGGATAATTTTTCATTAATACTCGAAAATGTCTCATTGCACATTTTGCATTCATGAAGTTGAATAGGCATATGTTTTACCAAATTATGTAATCGTGCAATTGTTTTGTTGCATATCAAACATTGATGAGGTCGATCTCCAATATGGATCAATTTTTATGTCCTTTTTTAGATTGCTTAATTCTTGAGAATGTCTTATTGCACATTTTGCATTCACGGGGTATAAATTTGCATATGGTTTTCCAAATTATATAATCGTGCAATTATTTTGTTGCATATCACACATTGATGAAGTTGATCCTACTATGGATTAATGTATGGTCGATTATTTAAATTTTTGCTGTAAATGTTTTATTGCACATTGCACATTTACAGAAGCATTTTCTGGTGTGTATTAATAAATGTGATTTTAACCGACTCCATTGTATAAATAGTTTATTGCATAGTGTATATTCACAAGGGCTCTTTCTATTATGAATGTTTTCATGAATTTTTAAATCTTGTTTGATTTAAAATGCTTTATTACATGTCGCACATGTAATAAATATGATTTATAATTTATTATTTAATAAATAATGAATCTGATTGTATATGCATATTACTAATTTAGAATTTTCTTGTCTTGATTATGGATTACATCTTATAATGGCTATGATGATTATGATGACTTGAGCTATCTTCAATTGATTAGACTATACAATCAGTTGATTGAATATGCAAATGATTTCATATTGAATTAATAGGGCCATAGTTCATCATTAGTAGCATCGTCTCGATCATCACTATCCTTCTTGCAATATTTTTTCATTTAATTTCATCTCGAATTCTGAAAATTGATCTAAATATATAACCCCATCTTGTTTACAATATTCTTTATCTGAATTTGTGTCATTTATAGAAGTGTCTTGATTACAGATTACATCTTATAATGGCTTTGATGATGATGATGACTTGAACTATCTTAACAATCAGCTGATTGAATATGCAAATGATTATTACATAATCAACAGCCATGAGGATGTTTTCCCATATGAATCAATATCATCATTTCATGTTGAATTAATATGACCATAGTTGCATATTTCATAATTTTATTGCATATTTCATAAAGTAGGTTTCCAGTATGAATTTTTCCGATTTGTCTTGAATGTTTTATCACATGTCTCACATATAAAAGGTGTAAATTAAAAATGACCCCCACAATGGGTTGTTTGATGTGTTTTGAATGAATCTTTCTTATGAAAAGTTTTGTTGCATGCCTCACATTTATAGAGTTACATTGTTCCATGTTTTTATAAAATTCTTCCTGAAAACTTGTTGAATTCGCTTACATTATCCGCTACATGACTGATCGAATGAAGTTCCTGATCAAAACGCATTTCATCAACATCTAGATTATAAAAACATAAACTTCTCCTTCGGGAAGTGTGTTTTTTCATTCATTTTTATCTCAAATTCTAAAAATTGGTCTAGATATATTACCTTATTTTGCATATCATCTGAACCAGTTTCATTTGTACCATTACCATCGTCTCAATCATCAATACCTTCTTGCAATATTCTTTCATTAAATTTCAACTCAAATTCTGAAAAGTGCTCTAAATATACATCCCATCTTGCTTACAATATTCTTTATCTGAATTTGTGTCATTTACAAAAGTGTCTTGATTATGGATTACATCTTATAATGGCTTTGATGATGATGATGACTTGAATGATCTTATATGCCGATTGTATATGCAAATGATTATTGTATAATAAACATCCATGAGGACGTCTTCCCATATGAATCCATATCATCATTTCATGTTGAATTAATATGGCCATAGTTGCATATTTCATAATTTTATTGCATATTTCATAAGGTAGGTTTCCAGTATGAATTTGTCCGATTTGTCTTGAATGTTTTATCACATGTCTCACATATAAAAGGTGTAAATTAAAAATGACCCCCACTATTGGACATTTGATGTAATTTGAATGAATCTTTCCTATAAAAAGTTTTACTGCATGTCTCATATTTATGAGCTTTTTTAAAATTACAGATTGTTCTATGTTTTTATAAAACTCTTCTTAAAAATTGATTGCATTCGCTTATATCATACGCTATATGACTGATCGAATGAAGTTCCTGATTAAAACTCATTTCATCAGCATCTAGATTATATATATCTTGCTATATTTTTTTATTCATTTATTCCACCATTTTTTATCTGAATTTGTGTCATTTACAAAAATGTCTTGATTATGGATTATGTCTTATAATGGCTTTGATCTCTTATAAAAAGTTTTGTTGCATGTCTCACACTTATTAGATTGTTTGAAATTGCATGTAGTTCTACATTTTTATAAAACTCTTCCTAAAAATTGGTTGCATTCACTTATATCATCCGCTACATGACTGATCGAATTAAATTCCAGATCGAAACTCATTT